TTCTGTTCCTATGAAATCCACTCTGATGTAGTGATAAGTAGTTCTTTTCCTCTAGGAGGAACATCAGGTGTCTGTTTACCACTCTCTCAAAAACTTTACACAGGCAACTTGTCAGAAAGATTAGTCTGTAATTAGAGAAATTCTTGTGGTCTTTGCCTGGCTTAGAGATGGGGATAATGATAGACAGCCTGCAAGAGTTGGGAAAAGTATGTTCTGTCTATATTCTGTTAAACAGATTCAGAACATTACAAAGATAATTGTCTGAAAGATTTTTAATCATGCTGTAGTGGATTCTATCCAACCCTACAGCAGTATTCCCCAAGCGAGAGATTGCTGTATGTAGTTCTATGCTGGTGAATGGCACATTATATTCCGCATTAGATGAGGAATAAAAGTTTGAATATTGTTTTTCACTTTGGGCTTTATAAGCCTGTAAATTTCTTACATACATAATACCGCTGGATGAAGCAGAAAACAATTCACCCAACATATCAGCAATACCCTGTATATCGCTGATTATTGTGCCATTATTTTCCAGCATAGACAGAGAGTGAGAAGCATATTTCCCATTGATTTTATGAATTTTATCCCAGACTGCTTTTGAGCTAGTGGATGATGTTATGCTAGAAACATACTTCCTCCAAGAATCCCTTTGGCTTTGCCTTCTAACTCTTCTGACATTTGCCTTTGCTTTTTTAAAAGCAANTGCAAAGTTCTCTCCCTTTTCTTCTTGATTTGCCTCAATGGACCAGATGTCTGTCAATCTTTAATGGACTGTAAAACTATGAAAGTACTTGTGGTTTTGCAAAAAAAGGTTTAATATGGAATCAGACACTGGTACAAAAAAATGGCTGTTACTAGGATACTCTTGTCTCCAAAATTTTTAAATTATGTGTTTTTTTTTGTTTTTACTATAAAAATACGGTGGTGCTTGAGGTGCCAACAACTAGCATGTTGCATTTCTGCACCACATGATGCTTAGAATTTTATTCTAAGTACTTGCTATGTATATATGAGTAATTACAAACTTAAGATTTTTTTTCTTTTCAGTTATGTGGGCGAACCATAACAGTGGACCACGTGGCCAATTACCGACCAAAAGAGCCATATAGGCTAATCTGCGCTAAAGCAAATGGTGAAAAATTAAATAAAAAAGTAAATAAATAAAAAACAAATCTCTTAATACTTATTAATAACATAAAAAATATATCACAAAATTACATAAATATATAAACAACAACAAAAATTATATACAATATAAATATGCAAAACAAGGTAAATAAAATTGTAAAATAAATAAATAAGTGATCAAATCTCTCTATACAAATTATTGACTTTCAGAAAGTCCACTATGTTGTCCAGATTTGGCCTTTGGCCCAAAATCTCTCTCAAACTTGCATTTCCAAAATGCTGTCTACGACTTTGATCGTAAGCAATGCAGTGGCAAAGTATGTGTTTTACGCTTAAAAAGCAGTTGCAATACTCACATACTCACTGGTCTTCACCCTTCAGAAGGTATTCATGAGTCAACCGAGTATGTCCAATTCTCAAGCGAGTAAAAATAACTTCAGATCTCCTGTCATACTGTTTCTTACGTGTCCAATTTTCTATCGTAGGTTTGATCTCGTGTAGTTTATTGTGGACTTGTGCGTTCCACATGTTTTGCCATCTCTCTGCTAGTCGTTTTTTAACAACTAGCTTCAAATCACCTCCTTCAATACGCAGTGTATGCTGTGAAGGACTTGCTGAATTAACAGCTGTGTCAGCGTCTTCGTTACCTCTTATACCCACGTGGCCTGGGACCCAACAAAACTTCACAGAAAAATTTCTCGTAGTAAGATGGCAAATTAGTTTTCGAATTTTAGTAACTATAAAGTGAGAACTAAGTTCATACGAGATCAGAGCCTGAAGAGCACTAACTGAGTCAGTGTAAATAACGCAGCAACGATGACTTTTTCTATTTATATACTTTGAGGCTAAATAAATAGCCCGCAACTCCGCAGAAAAGATGGAAGAATTCGGTGCTATTTGTTCTGCCACAATTTCATTTTGGCAAACAAAGGCTAAGCCAACATAGTTATCAGATTTAGATCCATCAGTATATATTGGAATTAGATTCCTGTCACAATGTTGAATTTCTGCGAAGTGCTGTCTGTAAACGTAGTCTGGGGTAGATTCTTTAAGGAATTGCTTTAAGCTAAGGTCAACATTTATCACTGGAGTTGACCAAGGTGTTATACTATCAACCTCTAGCTGTGAAATGTTGCTTGTGTCAAGGTCAATCGTGCTGCTTACATTCTCCATTCTGATGACAAATGAAGAGACACTACTTGGGCGAGCTTCAAATAACCTTTTCAGCTGAATATCTAATACTGTACAATCAAATGAAGGTTTAGAGTAAGATTTCTGTTTTATATAATAAAAAAGAGACAACTGTTCTCTCATGAGGGATAGTGAAGGCTCATAAGCATCCACATACAAACTTTGTACGGGAGAAGTTCGAAAAGTACCAGTGCACAAACGCAATGCTTGATGATGGATTGGATCCAGCATCCGAAGAGTAGATTCTCGCGCAGAGCCATAAACAATGCAACCATAGTCCAGCTTAGAGCGGACAAGGGCCCTTGAAATCCTGAGCATTGAAGCTTTATCTGCTCCCCAGGATGAGCAGCATAATACCTTTAAAAGGTTTAGTGATTTTAAACATCTACTCTTCAGGTTGCGCAAGTGCAGCAAAAATGTCAGTTTTTGGTTGAAAGAAACACCCAAAAACTTAGTCTCATTCACCATTGGGATTTTATCCCCATTTAGGTAAATTTCTGGATCCAGGTGCAAACCACGCCTTCGGCAAAAGTGGATACACAAGGTCTTCTCTATGTTGAAATTAAAACCATTAATCTTTGACCAATGGTCTATGCAATTTAAGGAGGTTTGCAGTTGTCTCTCGATAAAACTCATGTTGCTAGACTGGCAGGAGATCTGAAAGTCATCCACATACAGAGAGTGTTTCACACTAGGAGGAAGACAGTTAGCTATGCTGTTGATTTTGATTAGGAACAGAGTCACACTCAAAATAGAGCCTTGAGGAACACCTTCTTCTTGGGTGAAGAGCCTAGATAGTGTGTTGCCCATCCTAACTTGTAATCTTCGATTATGTAGGAAGTTTTTTATAAAAATTGGCAAATTGTCCCGCAATCCGAATTGGTACAGATCACGGGGTATCCCATAACGCCAACAGCGATCATAGGCCTTCTCCATATCAAAAAATACTGACACTAAGTGCTGTCGTCTAACAAACGCTTCGCGTATAGATGTTTCAAGGTTTACTAAGTTATCAGTGGTACTTCTGTTCCTACGAAAACCACTCTGATGTGGTGAAAAGTATTCATTTTTCTCTAAGAGATACATCAGACGTCTGTTTACCATCCTCTCAAAGAGTTTACACAGGCAACTTGTCAGAGAGATTGGTCTATAATTAGAGGGATTCTTGTGGTCTTTACCAAGTTTTGGAATAGGGATAATAATTGATAGTCTCCAAGAGTCAGGAAAAGTATTTTCTGTCCATATTCTGTTAAACAGATGCAGGAGATTACAAAGAGAATTGTTCGAAAGATTTTTAATCATGCTGTAGTGGATTTTATCCGGGCCTACAGCACTATTCCCCGAGCGAGAGATCGCTGTATGTAGTTCTATGCTGGTGAATGGCACATTATATTCCTCATTAGATGAGGAATGAAAGTTTAAACACTGTTTTTCACTTTGGGCTTTATAAGCCTGAAAATTTCTTGAATACATAATATTGCTAGATGAAGTAGAAAACGTTCCACCCAACGTATCAGCAATACCCTGTATATCGCTGATTATTGTGCCATTATTTTCCAGCATGGACAGAGAGTGAGAAGCATATTTCCCATTAATTTTATGGATTTTATCCCAGACTGCTTTTGAGCTAGTGGAAGATGTTATGCTAGAAACATACTTCCTCCAAGAATCCCTTTGGCTTTGCCTTCTTATTCTTCTGGCATTTGCCTTTGCTTTTTTAAAAGCAATCAAATTTCTAGCAGTGGGGTATCTTCTGAAAATCCCCCATGCTTTCTTTTGTGCTTTAAATGCTGCCTCACAATTCTGGTTCCACCATGGTTTCGGATGCTTTGGGTATCTGGTTGATGTTTTCCCCATTGTTTTTTCAGCTGCCTGTATAATACTAGAAGTGTCAACTTCAACTGCGTCATTAATATCAGCAGTATTGACCATTTCCTCAGTGATGTTAGCCAAAGAGGAAAATGAACACCAATCTGCCGTTTCCAGTTTCCAGCGTGGTGGGCCGGCTGTTTCACAGCTTTCTCTGCCTCGGTATTTTAGAAATATTGGGAAGTGGTCACTAGAGAGTGGATTACATCCAACCTCCCATGTAAATGCTGAAAACATGTTTAGACTTGCTAAATATAGATCAATGGCAGTGAACGTTCTTGATGGGGCATGGAAGTATGTCATTTCTCCAGTATTAAATAGACACAGTTGATGATTACCTATAAATCTCTCAATGGCTCTGCCTCTACTATTGATGTCACGACTGCCCCACATATAATTGTGGCCATTAAAATCACCAAGTAAAAGGAATGGTGTTGGCAGCTGTTCAGCCAAGGCATCCAGTTCATTCTCATTGACTCTGACATCTAGTGGCAAGTATATAGAACAAAGTGTGACAGTTACTCCAATTGAAATCCTGACTGCCACAGCTTGCAGATCAGTTGTTATTTGTACCAGCAAGGATGGGATGGGATTTGAAACTACAATAGCAACACCTCCACTGGCACAATTGTGGCTATCATTATCCTTGCGGTAGAGATTGAATCCTTTTGAAGTAATTCTTTCTCCAGGTTTCAGATGGGTTTCTTGGAGTGCCACGCAGAGAGATGATGTAGATGATGTCAAGTGTTTAATGTCAGAGAAGTTGTTGCGTAAATCACGACAGTTCCATTGGATTATTTTGTAATCCATTATGTGTTTGAGGTAGCATTCTTTGTGAAGGTATCCCTCTTTAGTTTTACGGCTGATTTGCCTTTCGGAGGTGAAGTTGGTGGTGTTACCTCCTTATTAGTCTCTTCATCAGAGAAGTCAGAGAACTCACTCATAGACTGAGCCTCTGATCTCCTAGATTTGGAGATGGCTGCTTTTAATTTTTGTTTGTTGAGTGGGTTCTTAGCAGCCTTCTTACAACCCACGTTTCTTGTTATGACCCCTGTTTTAGGTAGGGGTGTTTTGCTTTTCTTGTTCTCCTTTTCTGCTGTTTGGGTAGATTGTATCAACAAACATTTTGCATGGCGTGTTAGCGATTCATTTGGTGAAACAGAAATGTCTGTCTGAACTCCACATCTCTTTGTGGATTTCAGAACAGCAGCAAATGTCTTCTGTCTCACTGGTGCACTTAAAGTGACCATACGACGTGCCTCTGGGTAAGGTATATTATTTATAGTCTTCACCCGCTGTATCTCTTTTTCTCTTTGCCATGTAGGACATTTTTGGGAGTAGGCAGTGTGAGCTTCTTTGCAGTTGACGCAGCATGGAGTAGTTGTACATTCATTACTCTCATGATCTTCGTTTCCACACTGGGCGCATGCACTTTTCCCACGGCAGGATGTTTGTGAGTGTCCAAACCGCTGGCATTTAAAGCAATGCAGTGGATTTGGAATGTATGGGCGAACTTGACAACGGAGATATCCTGCTGCAACAGAAGATGGCAATGTTGGCTTGTTGAACATGATTATAAGATGTTTTGTAGGTATCAACTTGCCATCGTGCCTGATAGAGATGCGTCTGACGGCTGTGACACCTTGATCTGCAAGGCCTATCTGAATATCTGATTCACTTTCAGGCATCAAATCTGCTTCAGATATCACACCACGTGATGAGTTTAAACTCACGTGTGGTGTAATAGTGACTTCTATATCTCCCTAGGTCTTTGTTGACAAAAGTTTTGCCGATTGTTGGGGTGAGGATTTTTGTAAAAGCAGGTCTCCTGAACTCAACTTTTGAATTTTTTTCAAATTTCCAATGGTGGACTGGAACAATTTTTGTATTAGAAGAGGGGAACGTTCAGACAGAGATGTTTCATTGATAGCATGAGCTATAAAATAAGTTGGCTGGTTAGATAAACTTTCATCCTTTGGTGGTATTATATCTGTACATTGATGTTTGATGGTTTTTGAATCCATATTGTAAATTTCAATATTCAGCTCCTAGTGACCCCACCCACCACGGGGCCCAACAAGGGGATGCCGTCACATGGATAATTCCCATAGACCATCACACCAGGGTTTCCCAAGAGCTATACCCTCACAATGCAGTCAAGAAGAGCACATCTTGTTTGACATGTCCGCCCGGTCTGCATCGATCGGTTGACTCCAGGCCGAGGTCAAGAATGACTCAACGACCAGCCGATTGACTCAAACAGAGCCTGATTTGAGTCTCCCGTTTATCCGAAGCAGGGGCCAAAGCATTGTGTTGGATACATTATGTTTCCCCTCAACTATCAGGATCCCCCTTTCCGGCATACAAGACACCACGCACAACAAACACGTGGGTGGACGTTCAGATCCCAGGGATGGTAAAGAGGAGTTACTAAACCATCTCTGGGAGGTCCCCTCACCGCAAACAGGAACCCACATCGAGGGGATTATCGCTTAGGTGTGAAATGGTTGTTATAGTATATATTTCCAGTTTCTGTGTCAGTTTTTATGTCCAAAGGTATGTTTTTATATACAGTAAATAATGCAAAAGAATTTTCTCAAACTTTTAGAGGCTTTCTGCAGTTGGCAAATGATGCATTTGCAGAGAATACACCAGTTATAGTAGTAGTATAGCAGCAGCATTATAGTCCCATTCTTTCTGTAGTTAATAACCCACACAAATTTAAACCCACAAAATGAACTCTAGCATTAGATCAGATCAATTTATTCTGATAGGTTATATAATTTAGTAAATATAATAAAATAATTAGCTGCTTTACTGGAGTTCACTTTATTAACAAGTTTCTCTAAAATATTTTTGAACAACTAACTTTATTATCAGAAAACATACAAGTGAATTAGCTTAATAGCAGTCACCTTCATTCCATTCTTACTTATACTGTATTGGAGAAACTAACCCAAAATAGTACACTAGATTTTTTGGTCATTTTTAGTCAGATTAATTGTGCAACATCATTCACAGTATGTTATATTGCCACCTTAGGGCACTGTTTTCTCCTTTCCCTATCCTACTGATCTTCCCTTCCTGTGGGAAGGCTTTATGCTACCGTTGCCTATGAGTTGGGCAACAGTACTCCATCAACCAGGTAGCCACTAATGTCTCCCAGTCCCTTTCAGTTTTGGACAAGCTAGGAAGACGTTTGGTGTTCGACTTGTTTTTGACAAGCTAGGAAAAAGACGTTTGTTGTTCAACTTGTTTTGGACAAGCTAGGTAAAAAACATTTGTTGTTCGACTTGTTTTCGACAAGCTAGGAAGAAGACGTTTGTTGTTCGACTTGGTGAGTATAGTCCCTTTTTAAAGTGCTCTTAGGTAGTTATCAAAATGTCAAAGCCTTCCTTCAATAGCAGTATATCTATACTATACTTAAGGTTAAAAATAGTCACATCGTGTCTGGATTCCGTGTTACAAACCTGAAAGTGTTTCAGGCCTGCATTCAGTCAGCTCTCGAAGCGAGCTGTAATCTTAAGAATATGATCAAAGACAGCATTGAGATTAGTCTAGCAAAAGCACAGGACATGTTCATGTCCCTGTATCAAAATTATACCAACTTGAAACAACAAAAAGACGCTGAAAGGCTAAGCCTACCTGCATAGACTTCAAGTCCCTCTAACACCCCAAAAAAGTCATATGCCTCTGTCCTAAAATTAGATCTCCCACCTAGAAACGACAAAGTTGTGCTCATTTACAGTAAGGATGAGGGCAAAACCACCAGGACACACTGGACAATCTGGAGTCCAGTGTTAATGTAACGAAATTCAGGGTAGGGATAAGGTCGACCCGTCCGATCAAAGACGGGGTCTTGATAAACTGTAACACCCATGAAGGGGCAAGGCGGCTCATGGAATCCCTCAACAAGAGGGAAGATGTTAGTGTCAGGTCACCAGGACTACATGACCCCCGAATAATAGTACCGATAGTCAAGTGGAAACTCGTCGAGAGTGGTATTAAAAACTTTGTGGAAAGCCAACACTCTGATTTACTGGGTGATGTATCTAGGCACATCAAAAATGTATTGAACATAGGCAAGGAATCTAACAGGGAGCAGTTGTGAGTATTAACAATCCGCCCGAGCTGAGAAAAGCCTTTAGACAGGCAGGGGATATCTTATATATAGGATGGTCCTCTCATAAGGTCCACAAATTCTTCTACTATAAGTGATGTAATAACTGCTTTTCATATTACCATCTAAAATCACAATGCATAGCCAAAAGAGTGTGCCCAGAGTGCAGTGGTACACACTCCTCGTTGGAATGCACCGCAGAAAGATGCGACTTTAAATGTACTAACTGTGTGAAGTATAACGCCTCCAGGAAGCAGACCTAGAAGCACATGGATACCAATCATGCCACCCAAAACCGTAGATGTTCCATATATAGGTATCATTGTGAGATTAGCCGGGCTAATACTCACCAATAGACTTAAGCTAAATTTAAATAATTCTAAGTAAATTAAGGTACACCAAAAATGGGTATAAAAATCATACAGGTATATCTAGACAGATCGTCCACCGTGACAGATCATTTAGTCAAAAACGTTACTGATTTCAGCATTAATATCCCGTCTGGTCTGAAGGTCTAAACTTAAAAATTAATAGAGAAATATTGTTAAAACTGCAAAGGAGTCTATATAAAATTGATTGACGCTTATCGTATGTTCCCGCGAAATTCCACCTTTCTTTTCGCAAATAAAATTCCCATAGATATCTTAATCAAAGAACAAAGCGAATATTTTTTTGCCAAAGCAAGTGGCTCACATCATCATCTCCTGCGCTACACCGGCTGCGGTCCGGTCTTTACCGTATCCCACAAATTCACACGACACGCACATAGTTTCATATGACAGCAATCACTGAATAAAACTATTCACAGATGGCTCAAAAAGCAACAAAAGCGTAGGGTCAAGGATTGCATTGCTCGAAGGCTCTTACATCATGTGATGCATAAATTTTAAACTGCACAGCAACTGCAGTCGTCCAGGCCAAACTCCTGGCGCTTAGGAAAGCATTAAAGCTAAAAACCAAAGACAAAATACACAACATACTTGTAATCTGCAATTCACAGACTGCGATACTCTGCGCAAAGAGACCAAAAATCACAACAAAAGTAAGCATGGAAGTATTCCATCTATTTAAAAATTGCACTTCTCGTTTCAACATGTGCATAACATGGATTAGGTCACATTCCAGATGTCATAAAAATGATTTAGCAGACATGCTAGCAAACGCCGCCTATTTAAATAGAAACATCTTTGTGACACGCCTGCTGGCCTCCGTAAAGCACATCCTTCAACAAGACTCACTCGCTCAAGGCATAGGGCATTCATTGGATGAACGATAATAAAAGTCTAATCACACACAAATTCTTCCCGACAGTAAAAACTAAAGCTGAAATTAAAATAAAATAAAACATAACAACATCTCTGCTCACACAACACAGCAATATTAACAGTTATCTATAGTGATTCAAAGTAATTAATAGTCCAGCATGAAACTGCAACTCTAGCGATTCCGACACTTTGACCCACATCCTAATAGACTGCCGGCTCTTTGATCCATAGAGAAAAATTCTCGTCACCTTCCTGCACGATTATCTAATAGCTTGGCTGTCCAATCTGAACGAACTCACCAGCGATCCAGACATATTCAGCAAATTCTGCAAATGCTACAGACAGTGCACTGCGCTTTATGGTCAATCCTAGCCTAATACATAAAAATCCAGTCAAAAATCATTAGTAAATCCAATTTTTATCTGTTCCCCACGATTACATCAGTTCCTATCCATGTATTCCCGCTATACGACCCTCCAACACTTATGTAGGTCATCACCACAATAACATACCATGTGACAAATGTTGATTCTAAAACACGATGATAATTCAGTCATTTCTGCTTAAATTTCGTGGTGTTTTTAATTATTTAACATTTTTAATATATGTTTAATATTTCATATTATTACTTTATTCTTACGTATTTATTTTACTATTTTATCACCATATTTTATTTTAATATTGTTAATATTTTTTATTTTATATTATTATTTATAAATTTTTAATAACCAACACCCGCTATCCTTATCTATACAAAAACAAACCCGTTTAAATTAACTATGAATATTATTATAAGTAATTACATTTCTAGCAAGGCAAAACACACACTAACAATCCATCTAAAAATTGAACACCTCAACTGCAGATGGCATAAACTATTAGGCTTTCCCCTACCCCCTTGTCACTAAATTTTAAAGTACGCAACAGACATTCTACTTGAATCCACTAAGCAACAAGGAACATAACAATTATAATGCCAAGTAAACTTACCAACACACCAATCGTTCTATCCATTATGCTCCAAGATACCCAGAGTCACAGAATTTAAATGTCTAGGCGTTGTTCTAGACAAACAACTACAATGGACAAAACATGTCAAAAAAGTTAGTGCAAAAGCGGCCCAAGTCTCCACCAGAAACATATTACCTATATACCTATTTACAAGTTTGTTTCATAAATTTATGACTCTTTATTTCCTTTAAATAATTGTACAATATCTCATTCTTAGTCTTGCTCTTGGTGTGTCAAGTAGTGCTTTACTTTTGTGCGTGCAATTTTGTTGGTTTCGGATATCTGTCAGCCA